TGCAAAATTCGTACGAATTCATAGAAAAGATTTTCGAAAGAAAATTCTTTTGGAATTCGACCCATGCATGCCCTGTGTAATGCAGGTCATACACAAATTTTCATGGCAAGAATTTTCTATTTCTTTCCAGGTGGCGGCTCATTTCTTTTTCAATTACATTTCTCGCACAATTCTCCCATCATTGATTAGAAATTTGTTGGTTTTTCAAAAAATTTCCAACATGATTAGAAATTAGTCGGTTTTTTCAAAAAATTTCCAACATGCCCGATCACTCAAGATCGATGGTCGCTCGAAAATCGGCTGTTGCTGGGGCTCCGCTAATGGTGTGAACGAAAATTCATAGAAGAGATTTTCGAAAGATAATAATTTTGGAATTTGACCCATGCTTGCCCTGCCTAGTGCAGACCATACACGGGTCGAATTCTGAATTCATTTTCGTTCAAAAATCTGAAATTTCATGCGTTTTGGAACCCACCCTTGGTTTTGAAAATTTGACCGGCCGAGCCTTCCATTTCCCCCTCGTGTTGCTACAGAAAAGCATTTTCCTGGCCAAGAATTTTCTTTTCTTTCCAGGTCGCGGCTCATTTCTTTTTTAATTACATTTCTCGCACAATTCTCCCATCATGGATTAGAAAAGTCTTTCGGGATTTGACCCGTGTATGGCCGGCTTAAGGCTTTGACTAAAGAAAATCTGGAAGCTGATTGGTTTCTGTGCACAGCTGCTCCAGATGTTGAGCGCTCCTATTGGGTCTGGTGGACGTGTGGTAGCGCCGCATCGATGAGCGTGGTGGAAGGATGGTGCGCGAGGCCGAGTTCTGCCCTGAGGCTGCTGTCCCTCGAATTATTATAAAGAAGAATAATATTAGTATTACTATTTGTATTATTAATAGTATTATTTTATGACAAAATATTTATTGTTATCATTATTATTATATAAAGGGAGGGGGAGAGAGAGATGGGGGGGTGAGAGAGAGGGGGGGGGAGAGAGAAAGGAGGGGGAGGAGAAATGAGAGGGGGGGGAGAGAGAGAGGGGGGGAGAGAGGGGGAGGGAGAGAGGGGGGGAGAGGGGGGGGCGGAAGGGGGAGAGAAAGAAGGGGGGAGAGGGAGAGAAAGAGGGGGGAGGAGAGGGGGGGAGGAAGAGGAGGGGGAAAAGAGAATGAGGGGGGAGAGACAGAGGGGGAGAGGGAGAGAGAGAGGGGGGGGGGAGATAAAGAGGGGAGGGGGGAGGGGGGGAGAGAAGGAGGGGAGAGGGGGGAGAGGGGGGGGGGGGGGGGGGAGAGGGGGGGGGGAGAGGGGGGGAGGGAGAGAGAGGGGGAAAGAGGGGAGAGAGAGAGAGGGGAGAGAGAGGTTGAAAAAAAGAGAGGGGGGGGAGAGAGAGGGGGAGAGCAGGGGCGGACTGACAACTCATGGGGCCCCCGGGCAATAGGGGATCATGGGGGCCCCTGTGTCCTTGCCCAAACTCAAAAAAATCTACGAAAGGTACCAGGGGCATCTCATGGGGCCCCCTACTGACCCCGGGCCCTTGGGCAGTGCCTGAGTTTCCAAAATGGTCAGTCCGCCCCCTGGGGGGGAGGAGGGGGAAGAGAGAGGAGGGTGAAGGGAAGGGGAGAGAGGGGGGGGGGAGAGGGGGGAAGAGAGGAGGGGGGGGGAGAGAGAGGGGGGAAGAGAGGGAGGGGGGGGAGAGAGGGGGGAGGGGAGAGAGGGGAGAGGGAGCAAGGAGGGGGGGGGAGCAAGACAGGGAGAGGGGGAGAGAGAAGGGGGGAAAGAGAGGGGGGAGAGGAGGGGGGAGGGGGGGGGGAGGGGGGGGGGGCAAGAGAGAGAGAGAGAGAGAGAATCATATATACATACACACACTTATTGAACTCTCTCATTGTGGGGGGGGGGGGGGGGGGGGCAGCAGCACAAATTCTACATTCACCGCTGAACGCAGGGCAGGACCTCACAGGCATCACTAAGCCGGCATCTCAGTATTATGAAGAATCTGAATGTCAAGAGAAAAATATTACATTTAATCACCTTTTTTGTGGAAATTTTGGCTTTTTTTACTAAAAGAGGAAGTTTTGGATTGCAAAGCAATAAATAGACATCTGAGGCTTCAGGGAGATGAGTTCCCTAAGAATGATTCTGCTTTCTGCAAGGGGGGGAGGGGGACCAGAATCCTCTTTTTCATTCCGTATCCGCCGTTACTTCCTATGTTGTAGTCGGTCAGTGTGAGTCGGTCAGTTGAGTCGGTCACTGGTCAGGTCGAGTCGGTCAGTCGGTCAGCGCGAGTCGGTCACTGTGAGTCGGTCAGCGCGAGTCGGTCACAGTGAGTCGAGTTGAGTCGGTCACTGTGAGTCGGTCAGCGCGAGTCGGTCAGCGTGAGTCGGTCAGCGTGAGTCGGTCACTGTGAGTCGGTCAGTGTGAGTCGGTCAGCGTGAGTCGGTCAGCGTGAGTCGGTCCGCGTGAGTCGGTCAGTGCGAGTCGGTCAGTGTGAGTCGGTCACGTGAGTCGGTCACTGTGAGTCGAGTTGAGTCGGTCAGTTGAGTCGGTCACGCGAGTCGGTCACAGTGAGTCGGTCACTGTGAGTCGGTCACTGTGAGTCGGTCAGCGTGAGTCGGTCACTGTGAGTCGGTCACTGTGAGTCGGTCAGCGTGAGTCGGTGAGAGTCGGTCACTGTGAGTCGGTCAGCGTGAGTCGGTCAGCAGTGAGTCGGTCACTGTGTGAGTCGGTCAGTTGTGAGTCGGTCAGCGCGAGTCGGTCACAGTGAGTCGGTCAGCGTGAGTCGGTCACTGTGTCGGTCATGGATGTCCTCCCAGGACACGCCCCCTGCGCTGTCAGTGATAAGGTAAAAGCCCAATCACAGTGGCTTTTTAACACGTGATCAGCCGTGTCAAATGACAGTTGCCGGTTATCGGCTGCACTTTCCTCACACTGTCATAGCCTGAGGAAATTACTGCCAATAACCGGCAGATGTGATGGGAGATCTGCACTAATAATAAGGGCAATGATTATCAGTGGTGCACAGCATTGCCCATCAGTGTCGTCCATCAGTGCCCAGCAGTGCTGCCCAGCAGTGCCGATGGCCAGTGCCTCCAGTCGGTGCTATCAGTCAGTGCTGCTTATCAGTGCCATCAGTGCAACCTATCAGTGCTCGTCATTGCTGCATATCAGTTCATCATTGGTGACTCCTCTTCAATGCCCACCAGTGCTGCCTCATCAGTGCTGCCTCATCGGTGCTACCTATCAGTGCTGCCTCACCAGTGCCCATCAGTGCTGCCTATCAGTGCTGCCTCATCAGTGCTGCCTATCAGTGCTGCCTCATCAGTGCTGCCTATCAGTGCCTATCACTGCAGCCTCATTAGTGCATATTTGTGCTGCCTCACCAGTGCCCATCAGTGCTTCCTTTCAGTGCCCATCAATGCTGCCTATCAATGCCGTCTCACCAGTGCCCATCAGTGCTGCCTTTCAGTGAACATCAGTGCTGCCTATCAGTGCAACCTCATCATTGCCCATCATCATCAGTGCCCATCAGTGCTATCTATCAGTGCCTCAGTGCAGTGCCTATCAGTGCAGCCTCATCAAAATTACCTGTTTGCAAAATTTTATAATAGAAAAACAAAGAAAAATTTTTATCTGTTAAAATGTTTTGCTCTTTTTTCATTTATGGTGCAAAAGATACCCCCCCCCCCCCTCATCCCCGCCCTTCCCCCCCCCCAGCAGTGATTACATACCGGCAAAAGAAAGCTCTATTTGTGTGGAAACAATTATAAAAATGTCATATGGGTGCAGTGTTGCATGACCGCGCAATTGTCATTCAAAGTGCAACAGCGCCGAAAGCTGAAAATTGGCCTGGACAGGAAAGGGGGGGGGGGGGGGGTAGTCGTTGGGGGAGTTCCCGGTGGGGGAGGGGTTAAATATTATGCCTGGGGGGGGGGGGGGTTCCCCTTAAACTACGGCAATTCGGCTGGAGAGAGGTCGTTTGTGAGAAATTGTACTTTTGGTGGCGGAGAATCTCGGCCGGCTGGGCGGGTCAGGTTCATGTCATATCACATGTGGGCCCCAGGAACGGAGCCTCTCCGGGGCCACATATAGACCTCTAATGCTCTCATGAACAGTTCCTGGCTGAGCCGACCGCAACGTTCCGGACATTGTGCAGATGAAGCCGAGCTCTGCACCGGAACGTTTCCTGTCTGGCCTCTCGTCTCGTATCTTTCACAATCTCACCGCCATCGATGTTAATACAGGAGACCCTCAAAACTCTCACCGAGGATAATAGCCTGTGACCTACCTATTTCATAATGTGCCCCTTATGAGGGGTTCCCACCATCCCTGTGCTGAGTTCCTGGGTCTGTTCACCTCCTGTGCCCCTTATGAGGGGTTCCCACCATCCCTGTGCTGAGTTCCTGGGTCTGTACACCCGCTGTGCCCATTATGAGGGGTTCCCGCCATCCCTGTGCTGAGTTCCCGGGTCTGCACACCCGCTGTGCCCATTATGAGGGGTTCCCACCATCCCTGTGCTGAGTTCCCGGGTCTGTACACCCGCTGTGCCCATTATGAGGGGTTCCCACCATCCCTGTGCTGAGTTCCCGGGTCTGTACACCCGCTGTGCCCATTATGAGGGGTTCCCACCATCCCTGTGCTGAGTTCCTGGGTCTGTACACCCGCTGTGCCCATTATGAGGGGTTCTCACCATCCCTGCTAGCTTTTCATTTTTTTAAAATCTTATAGAGGATGAAATAGGAGGAGCCGGGACACACAATGGTGGGCAGGACCCCCCCCCCCCCCCCCCCCCCTCACTCCCAGGTGATCAGAGTTGGGAATTACGACAGGAGGAGCTCACTGTTGGAGTATCCAGGACATATGAGAGGACCTGACACACCGATCTCCAACTATAAATAACATGTCGCTTTCTGTAATGGATCCATCTCTTTGATTTGCTAAAACAGAGAAAAACATCGGAATGAATATTGATTATTATTTTTTCAATTTATTTATTTTTATGTTCTCTTCTATTTACAGGTTTTGCTGCCGGACAGAATGGTGAGATCCGTCCCGTGTGCTGAGATCTGCAGTATTCACTGTGCCCCAATGAGGGCGACAGACATGCCTGTCTGAGAAATATATGCAGAGAGAATCTCCCCCCCCTCTCCTCTCCCCCCCCCCTCTCCTCTCCTCTCCTCTCCCTTTCCTCTCTCTTTCTCTCTCTCCCCTCTCCCTCTCCTTTCCCTCTCCTCTGTCTCCCTATTTCTCTCTCTCCTCTCCCTCTCCTCTGTCTCTCTTTCTCCTCTCTCTCTCTCCTCTCTCTTTCTCTCCCTCCCCTCTCCCTCTCCTCTCTCTTTCTCTCTTTCTGTCCCTCTCCTCTCTCTTTCTCCCTCTCCTCTCTCTTTCTCTCTCTCTCTCCCCCTCTCCTCTTTCTTTCTCTCTCTCCTCTCTATTTCTCTCTCTCCTCTTCCTCTCCTCTTTCTCTCTCTCCCCCTCTCCCCCTCCTTTCCCTCTCCTCTCTCTCCCTCTTTTTTTCTCTCCTCTTCCTCTCCTCTCTCTTTCTCTCTCTTTCCCTCTCCTCTCCCTCTCCTCTTTCTTTCTCTCTCTCATCTCTATTTCTCTCTCTCCTCTTGCTCTCCTCTCTCTTTCTCCCTCTCCCTTTATCTCTCTCCTCTCCTTCTCCTCTGTCTCTCCCCCCCCCCCCTCTCTCTCTCCCTCTCCTCTCCTCTTTTTTTCCTCAATTCTCTTATTTTCCTTTTATTTTCTTTCTTTTCTTTCCCTTTTCTCCCTTATCCATCCCTTTTTGTTTCCTTCCTTTTTCTTCCTTTTTTTGCCTCCATTCCTTTCCTTTACATATATTCTTTTGTTTTCTATCTCCTCTCCCTCCTTTTTTACTTTTCATGCCCTTCCTTTCTTTCATTCCTCTTTTCCTCCTCTCCTCTTTCTCTTTTCTCTCCATCCTTCCATCCCCCCCTCGGTATTTCCCCCATGATGCCTCATTGTCTGTTTTCTCTCCCCGCTGTGTCTCTGTAGATTGTGGGAATTGCCTCCATCTTGATTCTGGGGCCGTGGTCGGTATCGTCACCTGTGATGTCATCATCATCACTCTGCTGATCGCTGGCATGGCCTTCTGGGTGTCCAACAAAGTGCAGAAGAAGAAGTATGATGGTGAGTAATAGAATGTACCCCGAGGATTGGGGGGGAGGATTGGGGGGGGGATTAGGGGGGGGGGGAGGATGGGGGGGGGTATTTGTATCAAGCGGCTGGAATACACCAAAAACATTCCAACAATGGGGGGGGGGGCGCAACTGCCATATCGGTTTTTTGGCGCCTTTATCACGCAGGGCAGTCATGTGACCGCTCAGCATGTCTGCAACAGCAGGGGGTTGTGGGAAAGATCAGACCGGGAGCTGCAGAGGTTTAGAAATGTTCGTTTTATTTTACAGAAATATAAATCAAATCTGAAATGAAATAAATAAAATAAATAAAAAATGTGTATTTTTTTCCTTATATACCGTTCTTATTCTTCAGAAAAATTGCAGCAGAAAAGTGTTGCGGAGAACGCCGACCACACCTACGAGGTAAGTACTCCATTCTTCCCGGGATGTCATGTATACGGCGTGAATGCAGAATGATTAAAGGGGAACTCCAGACAAAACTTTTTATATTTAGACTAGAATGGGGGGGGGGGGGTAAGGGACCTCTGCGGAACTTTACCGACGAATTGACATATGGACTATGGCTCTGCCCCATGGGGTTTGTTTTGTTTTTTTTTTTTGTTTTTTTAGGGGGTAGGGGATATTTCCATTTTTTTTTTACTTTTTTCAGGCTGCCCTACCCCCACCTCCATTCTGGTTTAGACCAGAATGAAGTGCCATCCCACATGAAAGAAAAATATATTTTAAATAAATTTAATAAATACATTCTTAAATATTCTTTCCAAATATATTGACGTGTATTTCAAAATACTAATTTTTTGGCCATATTCAATAAATTTAAAAAATATATCTCAAAATATATTCACAAATATATTTTTAAAAAAATAGATCTCAATATATATTTTAATATGTTCACAAATATATTTTAAAAAATATATTTCAATATATTTGTGAATATTTTATTCAAAATATATTTTAAAATATATATATCAAAGTGTCATTTGGAATGCATTTACAATATATTTAAAACTCTGTTTCAATTCATTATTTTAGCTGTCCAAATAATATTTATATTTAAAAAATTATATTTTTAAATATATCAATAAAATATATTTTAATTTACGTTTTTGGAATATCAAAATAAATTCGTTTATATTGTAAGTATATTTTTTAATATATTTTTTTTTTTTATTAAAAATATATATTTTCCATATGGGATTCACACACATAATATGATATAAAGTGTCATTTGGAATGCATTTAAGTCTACTGCATTTGAAAACTTTTTTTTCATATTACATTTTTTTTTTTAAAATGTCCAAAAATTTTTTTCTGGAAAATATTGAATTTTTATTTTTTACATATATTTTAATCCAAAAATTTATTTTTTTTATTTGATAATTAAATTTTGGCCATATTCAATATATTTAATATATATATATATATATTATACATATATATATATATATATATACTGCATGTTGAAATGCATATATAAATGTCCTTTTAACATATATTTTTACATATATTTGTAAATGCATTCCAAAAATTTATTTTTAAAGACATACAGTATATTTGAAATACTACAATTTTGGCCATATTCAATATATTAAAAAAAAAAAATAAAAAAAATAATAATAAATAAATATATATATTCTGTATATATATATATATATATATTCTGCATGTTTAAATGCATATATAAATGTCCTTTTAACATATATTTTTACATATATTTGTAAATGCATTCCAGAACTGTAGATTTTGTATTTTTAAAGACATACTTTATATATATTTATTATATAAAATATTTATATATATATATTATTTATATATATTTATTATATATTTTATTTAAATATATATTTTGAAATACTACAATTTTGGCCATATTCAATATATTTTAAAAAATATATATGAAAAATATTTTTAAAAATATATATTTTTTAAATATATTCTTCAGATTGTCTTTTTATATATATATATATATAAATATATATATATATATATATATTTATATATATATATATATCTTATTATTAATATATTTAAATAAATATAAAAATCCGAAACAGAACAAAACAATTTCCCAGTTGTGCTTTCTATGTATGATACACTGTATTCTTTTTTGGTTTCTTCTCCCAGCATTTGCGTGGACAGCAGACGGACATCTATACTGACATCAACACGATAAACAATCACAAGTAA